AGACCAATATGTCTCTAATAACGTGGAAAGAAAATGAATGTAGTAGGTTGGCAAGAAAGAAAAATTCAAGTGCATTAGAAAAAAATAGCTAGATAGGGTAAGTAGGTCAACGAATCCAAGGACTTGCATTATTAGTTGCCCATCGGAGTACAGAGTGTTGTTTATTTCTATGCCACAGATCAAATTGTATAAGAATAAAACATGAATATTGCTTTATTAATGTTATGGTGAGGTGAGATTACCTTCCTAGTACACCTCATACAATTTTCAATATCAAATTTCACTAACTTCTGCGTATTTTGAAAGTACATGGATTGAAGTTTTTTATTCAAATTTCACCTCAAGGCGAATCATATAAAATGGAATAACTTATTCAAAATAGTAACAAATGTTAAGAAAATGGCGTCAGTCAGGTTGACTCTGCGCCTGTCACGCAACGCTATCTTTACTTCATAAAGGATTATATTCAGCACAAGTTAGACCCTATGCAAATAAGACAGCGTCATAGACCTTAAATCACGGAGAGATGATACTTGCTATACTTACGTTCGTTGTCCCAGGATCAAGACTAGACTGTGATGATGAGGTGCCAAAAAGCACGAAACAGCTGTCCGTGGTTGGCTTTCTTTGGCCGGATGGATGAAAGCGATGTGTTTAAGATAGATCCTCTGAGAAAAAGTTATTTACATGTATAACAGAAAAATTAAATGGATCAAGTCCATGAAACAGGACAATATGATTATTAGTCCATAGAAATTATTTCCCTACCGTACCCCTAGTACCGTCTACCAGGCGACGTCGCATGTCCCCAATACCTCATCGCACGATGCGTCAGACGCAGTAGTGCGGCAGAGCGCCAGTCATGTAAGGTCACCTACGAGGACCGGCACGCAGGCCAGTGAAGCCAGGCAGCAGACGCACAAAATCGTTTCTAAAACATTTATCTGTCGTTCTAAATTCTAACGTCAAATGTACGGGAGAATCTATAATGTGTGGAATATGTCTAATAGGTGCGTCGAATTTCCGGGGTTGAAACCTACCTACAATCACTCCCCCAAGTCGTTTCCCTATTTTTATTTCAAAAAGGATCAGGAAACTCCGAAGTGCCAGAAATGAGGTTTGAGCGATTTCTATGATGTTCCTGTTTTCGCCCACCGCCACTGGGCCGATTTTTAAAGTCCACAAAGCTTTCTCGGTCTTGGCGTAGTATTAACTTGTGGGTTATGCAGCATCTCAAATCGCACGTTTTTTCGTGTTATTTTTGAATCTACTCGCTGCCCTGCCAATCTTGCCACAATTTTCACTTTGTATAATCTCCGTAGCCATTCAACCTCAATGTATGATGATGCTTTTGGAATAAAGCGAAACACGTTATGACTTCATATGTATTTTACTGTCAAACAACAGCAAATTCTACAAGTTGATCACTAAACATTTTTGTCAAAACGTCCCACCCTTCATAGAACAACCATCAATAAATAACCTCCTCCACTTCCGTACTTCTTTTATCTGACTCAGAAATTTCCCTAACTCCCAGCAACGTTTTTTGCTCCACTTCCACCATACAAGGCCGCTACTTACATAAACACCAGGGCACTACCAAATTAACCTTTCCATCGGGTCATTAATCATATTCAAGAAGAATTTTATTTGCGTCTGATCGATACTTTCCTTCCTCCGTTCGCTTCCCGTTGTCCATCATACAACCTGCTTTCCCTTTCCCACACTTCAACTTCCTCCGAATGCCATTTGACGCATAAATTTCTCGTGCATATATTATACAGGATGTTATGGAATACAAGGACAGATTTTAAAATATCGGGTGAACCCAGTATGTCGTTTCTCTTCTATGTCGTTCCAGTCATCTGTTTGTTAATCGTTGAATAGACACAATAAACTGACGCTCGATTATCTTATCCTACCCTAAACAAAATTTGAACGCGTGACATCTGATACACCAACCCACATCACTTCGATGCACGTCATCTGAACTAAGTCTAAGGCCGGTTGTTAGAAATATCTATTTACGTCAAATTGTTCATGTTTTTGATTTATATCATCTGCTATATAGCCTGAAATTTCCTATAATTCAAAAAGAAAACAGACTCACAGTAGAAGAGCGTTGAAGCTGACACGGAACAGTCGAACTCTAGAAATTCCCTAGCCTTTTTGAAGGAGAGAAAAGTCTATGAAATCAAGGAGGAACGACTGATGATGTCCTGCCTAATGCGCAAATATTGCATTTCGCACCACCATAATGGTCGACCTCTTAGAAGTCCGAATACTCAGTATTCACAGGAATAAGATAAATAAAAATAATGATCACATTTGCAAAACATTTATGTAAGCACTATATAAAGATATAATAACTGTTCATTGGTTGTAGTGGTCTTCCATTGTCTATCGGCACTAAGCTTATGTCTGGGAATGCTTTGTCCCTGCAATAAAAGTCTTGTCCACCTTTGATACATTGACACATACCTACACTGATAGATTTCTCGCTAACACACTGAGATTTTTAGTTGAGTTTTGGTATGTAACATATGTAATCCAAAAGCACATTAGCATGACGTAGGAAATTGCTTTCCGAGTGCTCTCTGGAAAATGGTCGCTCCTTGGATTGTAAGTGTGAGGCCTGAGTGAGAACTGCGTTCTGCGGAGCGTGCAGCGTGGCGTGCAGCGAATTTAGGAGCGTTCTTTGACTGGCTTCAGTGAACAGCGAGCGTTCAGTTGTGATATACGTATTTTGATCATCATGGCTTCATATGACATTTTTGATATGTGTTTAGAAGAAAATTCAGATTTAAAATTTGACTTGTTATGCAAGGAGGGTCCAAGTCATATTGTTAGACAAAGAAAAAGATTAGGTGAATTTTCTACATTGTACGAAACCCTACGATCAGACGAAAACAAATTCTACGAGTATACAAGAATGTCAGTGCCAACTTTCGACTACATATTGGAAAAAATAGATGCTCGTTTAAAGTTAACAGCCACTAACTTTCATATATCAGATTCAATAACGTCTGCAGAAAAATTAATCGTGACCTTAAGGTGAGTAGAAATGAAACTACTTCAATATAGGTAACCGTATTTATTTTATTTAATTCGAACTACAAAAAAGTTAAACTCTGAGTTTCTTCATCTGGTGGTGTAGTGTAGTAACACTGATAATTAACATTTTGTTGAGAAGTAACTGCTTGGTTTTCTTTCGTAGCTTCATACAGCCATTCATTAACTTTGCCACGGAACTGAAATTTTTGCAGTTCCGTTAGTTTCTTCATTGCGGGAAGAATGCTTCTCAAGAATAAGAAGTCTTCATCATTATTTAACTTCTGATCATTATCGGTCTCCATTAACCGTTTTTCCATCAATAGAAGTTTCTTTTTTTCGATGTCTAGCATACTCTCCTTCAGATTCAAACGTTTTCTTGACGACGATGACGACTGTTGAGACGAACTTGCAGACGATGTGGCTGCAGGTTGAGAAGGTGGAGACATCATCGGCTGCATCATTTCAGAATCCAAATTATCCGAATCATTTGGCATCTCTGAACTGTCCTCATCATTTTCTATATTTTCTGCTTCTTGGCTATCATCTGTTTCATTAACAGATAAATTTCCAGTTGATGGTGCAGGCATTACTTCATCTTTAATGAACATCATTAAATTAAAATATTGCCATGAAGACACCCAAACGTCCGCCTCTGCTCCAGATCTGAAATGTGGTTGTTTCTTGAGTTCCTTCCGGTATTGGTCTTTTAAATGTTTCCAACGCTTTTTCAATGTAACTTCTGCAAGAAAAAAATATTTCCATGTACAAATCGATAACATAAATGAGTAGGGTTTCAGTTTTGTCAATCTAAGCGATATTTAGGTTTACCAATTTTTTTCAGTATCATTTTTTTACAGATATCTTGCTACTGGAACATCTTTTCGAGCACTGGCTTTTAGTTTTCGAATGGGGAAAACAACAGTAGCCGACATTGTTTATGCAACTTGTTCAGCTATATGGCAGCAATTGGTTGAAGTACATATGGCACGGCCAACGCAAGAGGACTTCAAAAATATAGCAAATGACTATTACAGACTATGGCAGTTCCCTATATGTTTAGGATCTATTGACGGCAAACACTGCAGAATGAAGTGTCCCGCTAAGTCTGGCTCTTCGTTTTACAATTACAAGCAATATTTTTCCATAATACTACAAGGTGTGGCGGATGCAAATAAACGATTTATCTCCATAGAAGTAGGAGGAAAAGGCAAACAAAGTGATGGAGGGACTTTTCATTATTCAACGTTGAACAGTTTGATGGACAATGGAGGACTACATATTCCTCCACCCGATAATTTACCAGGGACCACATTAGAATCTCCTTATGTTTTTCTGGGAGATGAAGCCTACCCTTTGAAAATACATTTAATGCGGCCGTTTCCATCAAGAAACCTGAATGATAAAAATGAGTATTTCAATAAACGTCTCTCACGTGCACGAAAATGTATTGAATGTGCTTCTGGTATTTTATACGCAAAATGGCGTATTTTCAGTAAGCCGATCGAAACAAATGTAGAACACGCATGTTTAATAATAAAAACCGCTTGCCTTCTACACAATGTCATACGTGATCTCGAAGGAAATGATTGTAATTCTCAAAACTATGACACAAATCTGACTCCTGGGGCACATTATGCTGATCTCAATAGAAGAAACAACAGTTCTTCTCAGGCCGCGAGAAATATACGGAACCAATTCGCTAACTACTTTTGGGATAGGAAAATATAATGTTTACAAAATATGTTCAGTTATTTTCAGTATGTAATGTAATGAAAATGTAATAAAATATTACCTTCTATGCCTAGTTTTTCTGCTAATTCAGTCCAGATTTTTGCTTTCACTAGTCTATTTTTATAGAGAGCATGCTTTGACATCCATATTTCTGGTTTTTCTTGGATTGCACAAATTATTTCTTCGAACGGCATAATGCACGTGCTACTGAAACGCTCTAAAAACACAAACAGAATTGAAATGAACGCTGTACACCGCTCGACGCTCCACCAAACGCAAACATGCGCGCTCTCTACAACGCTCTGGCGGCTGCCACTAAGGACATCTAGATAGAATAAGCAGAGATAGACATGCACGCTCCACGCCCCGCGCCGCTGCACACTCGTCTAGAGCGGGCAGTCAGGCCTCACACTAAACAAACGGTAGCGTTACCTTGAGCAACGTTCAAGTAATGATTCAACACTTCTATCACAGTAGATTAGAATATCATCGCAAGTTTTCAATTCTTGGAATTTTTCTGAAATTTTCAATACATTTAAGATTGTAAAAAAAGTTTTCAGTGCATGTATTTGAAATTCTGAAAATTTCCACAAAATTCAAAACTTGAAAATCATGTGAATTTTATAGCTTTTAATATTTACTTTAAGGTATATGGGATGCAGTATCTTGCATTAATTATCGTACTATTCTAGAAAATGCACGTAAGTGAAATTTTTTGGATCTAATTTGGGGCTGTACTGTATAAAATACTGAATTTGTCGAGTAGGGGTAATCGAAAAACCAAACCTTTTTTGTATCGCGGCTGAGACAATGTAGGCGTGTACCCCATAATCTTGATTGATTGGTAGCTAAAGACGTCCGGAGCTATCAAATTTGCTGCTTTCAGGTCTGCAGGATTATTTCCTATCTGTTAACCTGCCTCTAACCAATTACGCCCTTTCTGAAAGTTCGACGACCTTTCCACGGGTATTAACAGGCAGATTTGTTATAAATTTTTCAATTCTTCATTAAAAGCTGCGTATAAATATGTTTCACGTTCTTTTTAAAAGCTGTTATTTAACTCGACCTGTTTCAATATGTATGTAAGTCAAATCTTGGAACCTAATTTTGAACCAGTTGACCTTAAACAATTGAGCTAAAATTTTGTATCTACAATTTGTTCGCGAAACGTGAGTAAAAAGTAATTTATTCATAAGTGGCCAGGAAATCATGGAGTGTTACATATGTTACATTTTCTGTTCTTTGTTTTTTAATTCGACTTATGAACGAACAGATCCGTTTAAATATATGGCATCTTTTCTCAATTTGCTAGAGACAGGGTGACATTTGAAATCGCGCATTTTTTCTGGAGCCGTATATCTGGGTTAAGGTTTATGCGTTACAAATGTAATTTTACATTTTACAAAAACTACACGCTCTTGGAAGGTCTTAGCTTTAAGAATAACGTCGTGTATACATGTCCTTGGCTTTCCTTCATATTTATGTCTGGAATACGGTTTCATTTGAGGCATACCTTCCTCTTCGGAGATTCAAATTAGCTGTCAACTTTGAAAGATGGACTAAGCTATTTTCAAAAGCAACGTTCCAACATGCGCAGGCTAAGACATAATTTATCACTTCGATATGACGAATCACAGGGCCGAACTCATGGGGGCACAGAAGGTCGATAAAAATGGTTTTCTAATATGCCAGTCAATCTAAGGTGGGTAGGCCATGGAAGGTCGTGCTTCTTGTAAGACCAATTGATAAAATTATTGCCCTGCTATGAAATATTCGTAAAATTCACATTCGAATTTAACGTCACACTCCTGGCGGCGAGCCTCTCGTATCGTTATTTTGTAAATGCAGTTCCTCGTTTTGTTGACATCGCTCGTCGATGTTAAAACTCTAATCATAGCTCACAACAAAACATACGTTTTCATCCTTAAATACACTATTATTCTATTTATGCTTTTTAATTGTAGATTTATAACGCCATAAGGACCATGTTGGCCTTACATAAGGAGGTCATCTTGGGTAATTGAGTATTTTTCATAAGAATAATATAAGTAGATACTGGTGCACTCTGGGCGCCCCCCACCACTTCCACTTTTTGGCCACGCCCACCACATCCACCGCGTGCTCTGATTGGCGGATCAAACGGCGGGAAATTTGAACGGGGTTGATGGTATATGTTGATTGGCGGGAACCGCTAGATCCACCGCGTGCTCTGATTGGTGGATCAGACGGCGGAAAGTTTGAACGGGTTGATGGTATATGTTGATTGGCGGGCCCCGTTAGATGGCGCACCCGACCGGAAGTGATTCAGACAGCCGACGATAGTAAGGTGTAGTATAACGTCTATGCGTAAGCGATGTGACTCATTTCATGTTTTGCGGTAAATATTTGCATATAGATCGATAAAAGCCCATGAATAATGATATTTATAGATGCAATTCTGCTGATTCAGTTTAAATGGAAAAACGTATAAAATTCGCGGGAAACAATGCGTATAGGATGATCTCAATAATCAACACGTCATATTCAGTGTGCATATAAAAATGGAATTGCTCATATATGTGGTGCATACAGTTAATGTTAGTTAATTTTTAACATTGATACAATATTGAAAACATAGTACAGTCTATATTGTGTATCTAATAAATTCAACAAGGCAATCACCTACGTCGCAAATGAGGTTAGGTTCAGGGCAGGTGTTGTCGTAGCGGTGATATGCAAGAAGTACCGGGCGGGGCTGTTAAGCATGGGTGAATGGGCAGGAAGCGCAGGCTGTCAACGAGTTAATACTGACCAACGATAACAGCGGTGACCTTGAAACACTGTGGTCAGTTAAAAAGTGGTGGGGGTAAAATCGAGATTATAAATACCTATGAATCACCGCAAATTATCTTGTCAGTTATCTGCAGCGAACAGACGTGCTCAGTTCAGATTTAGTCGCTAGTTAACGTTTTAGTTTTTAAAAAATGGAAAAATTCTTCATCGTTAAGGATTCTACTAAGAAGATTAAAAAATTTAATCTATATGGGCGAGAAGTGGAATTTAAAATACGACCTATCCCTAAAGACGTCGAACCTGTGGGATGGATCAAAGACGCTCTGGAGGAAATAGTAGCCAAAGGAACTGAACATCTCCAGCCCAGTGATCAAGTTGGATTCACTTTCTGTTCCAAAGACTTTACCCGCGGTCAAGGATGGATAGCTTTTAAATTGTTTTCCGACGTTTCAACTGAGGACATATGGGAGAAGATATCTTCCATCTATCAGTCAAATTCTGTGGGGTTGAATACCGAGACTTTTTGCTTGGGTATTACGTCCGTAAGGTTGCCTGCTGGTCGTGGTAGAGCTCAGAATTTCAATACCTTTGATGAGGAATGCGCCAAAAGAAAAGGCATTATCACCGTTAAAAACACCGATAATTTGTGTCTCCCACGAGCCCTTGTCATCGCCATGGCCCATTTGAACAAAGACAAAGATTATAGCAGAATCCGCCGTGATCGAGGAAAAATACAAGGACAAAGAGCTGTACAACTTGTGGAAAAGGCTGATATTGTTATCCCTGAGGAGGGGTGTGGAATACCTGAACTTCAAAAGCTACAACGATATCTGCAAAACTACAAAATTGTTGTATACAAGTTTGGGTGCAAAGGTCGTGACGTCATTTTTGAAGGCGTGTCCGCTGGTCCGACGCTTAACCTAATATATCACGAGGGGCACTACAGCGTCATAACATCCCTCACTGCTGCCTTTTGCTGCAGCTTTTTTTGTGAGAACTGCCACATTCCGTATAATACTAAACAAATTCATAGATGTGATAAACAATGTTATGCTTGTAAAAGATCTCCGGCCTGCCTGAAAACGAAGCACATCAAATGCAAAGAATGTAATAGAAGCTTTTATGGACAAGAATGTTTTAACGCTCATTTACCATCGGTCTGTTCTAAAATTAAAAGATGTGTAGACTGTTTTAAAGTTCACAACGGTAATGATCACATCTGCGGATATATACTTTGTAAAACATGTTATAAAAATCAACCAATTGAACATATGTGCTATATACAGCCTGACAGAAGTATTCCTAAATCAAATGATGTCTTATTAATATTTTACGATTTGGAAACCCGTCAGGAGAAGGAATTACCCAATGGATCTTTACTGCATGAGCCAAATCTATGTGTATTCAAACAATGTTGTGAATCATGTACCGATAATCCTATATGCAAGAAATGTGGCCTTCGATTACAGATTCTTCGATGTCAAGACGTCATTTCTCCATTTATGCATCATATTCTGACACTTCGTAAAAAATTCAAGAAAGTCATTGTACTGGCGCATAATGGTGGAGGATTTGATCATCAGTTTCTACTTCGTTACATTTTAGAGAAGACTAGTCTGTACCCGAATGTAATTATGAGAGGAACAAAATTAATATTGATGGAGGTAGGAAATGTAAAATTTCTGGATTCTCTCAATTATTTTCCTATGCCTCTAACTGCTCTACCCAAGGCGTTTGATTTGAAAGAGCTAAAGAAAGGATACTTTCCACATTTATTCAACACTTTGGCTCATCAGAATTATGTAGGGCCAATTCCAGCGCTCGACTTCTACGATCCCGACCATTTAAAGGAAGACGCTCGGGAAAAATTATTAAAATGGCACGGCGAAAGACAAGCGGAGGGATACGTTTTTGATTTTCAGAAAGAAATCGTTGAATACTGTATCTCCGATGTGGAAATATTGACACAGGCGTGTCTCAAATTTCGAGACCTGATGAAAACCGAAACCACAGTCGATCCCTTCCAGGAAAGCACCACTATTGCATCATGCTGTAACAAAGTCTTTAGACGCAATTTTTTAAAACCTGAGACGATCGGGGTAATTCCAAAAGGGGGCTATAGATGGCGTGAAAATCAGTCAAAAATTGCCATCCAATGGCTGTTGTGGGAGGAACATCAAAGAGGAATCAAAATTCAACACGCCGCTAAGGGTATAGAAACCATTGTTAAGGGACATAAAGTAGACGGTTTTTGTAGCGACACAAATCAAGTGTTTGAATTCCAAGGATGCTATTTTCACGGTTGCCCTCGATGTTTCAAATACAACAGAAGCAATCCTCTGCATAATGATCCGTTGAATACATTGGAAAGTCGATACGAACAATCAGTTAGCAAAGTAGAGAGACTCCGAAGCCTTGGACTAGAAGTAATTGAGATATGGGAAT